TCTGAAAGGTAGCCCGCAGGTCTCTGCATGCAGAGATGTGGCGATCGGGTCAATAGGAGGCCCTTCTTCAAGTTGTCCGTGAACAGCGGTTCTCTATAAAGAGAGAACTGCATTTTGACAGTGCATGTTAACCCCTAAAGGAGCCGAAAGAGAAGAAATTCCAGGAGCTGGCGGTGCTGTTGCACAAGCTCAGCAGGACGCACACAGCGGGGTGGACGTGGTGGGCGGAGACCTCAAGACCACAGAAGGAGATCTGGGGTGGCCTGGGGCCAGGCCCCTCACTTACCAGGATGCTGGCACAGCCCGGGGACAAGCTGCTTCCAGAGCCAGGCACGGTCCACACGCAGCCACTGCCCCGCAATCATCTCCATGTGTAAGAACGGGATCCCGAGTAAGAAGAGCATGAAGTACCTCAGGATGAGGCTGCCTGGAAAGACGGGCAGGGGCGCTGTGCTCAGGCAGCCAGGACTGCGGGCCTTGCCCCCGTGTGCCCAACCCCAGCGTTCTCCTTCTGGGCCCAGGACTCGAGGCTCCCAGCCTTGAAACTCCTTCCTTAAGCTCAGGACCCAGGCGCCTGGCCTTAGCTCCCCCAGTCCGGTGACACAGGTAGAAAAGCACCCCCCGCTGCCCAGCCCAACAGAGAAGCCATCTAGAGCAGGAGGCTGTCGCTGTTTTTAGACTGATGTGGTTTTGGGGCTTGGTGGCCTGGATCTCCTTGGCCTTGAGCCTCCCGGACAGGGAACGGGGGGTCTGGAATGTCTTGGAAGACTTCCTCTGTCAGACCAGGTAATTCCTCAAGGGACTCCCTGGATTCTTTTCAAGCCCGCTACATCCTGAGGAAAGCTTGAGCTTAGGGTCACCAAGAGCTGCAGACTTTACAGGACACGTCTCGGATGCCAGGCTGTAAAACGTCCTCACGGGGATTTTTGAGAAATGAGAGCCAGAGGGGAAATCTTGGCCCTCCTGCTCATGAGTTAGTTACTTAGGGGCAATATACTTTATTACTTTTTCAGACAGGGTCTTGCTCTATTGCCCAGGCTGGAGTACAGTGGTGCCATCTCAGCTCACTGCAGCCTCCGCCTCCCAGGTTCAAGCGATTCTCCCGTCTCAGCCTCCTGAGTAGCTGCGACTACAGGCACGTGGGCCCAGCTATTTTTTGTATTTTTAATAGAGACAGGGTTTTACCATGTTAGCCAGGATGATCTCTATCTCTTTACCTGATGATCCGCCCACCTTGGTCTTCCAATCTCCTGCCTCCCGAATAGCTGGGTTTACAGGCGTGTGCCACTATGCTCATATAATTTTTGTATTTCTAGTAGAGACACGGTTTCGCCATGTGGGCCAGGCTGGTCTCAAACTCTTGACCTCAAGTGATCCGCCCATCTCAGCCTCCCAAAGTACTGGGATTACAGGCATGAGCCACCAAGCCCAGCTGTGTTTTTCTCATCTTAAAAGCAGAGGTGAATTTCAAAATATTTAATAAATGCCGTGGTGCGAGTACTTGGCAATCAGAGTAAATGCCAACCATAAACACTGGAGTGCCCACTGAACATCGATCCTGTCAGAAATGATTGCAGTGACACCAGGGAATCCTGAGGGTCAAGGGCGCAGTAAACAATGGATACCCTCAGATTTTTCTCCCTTTGAATTCTGGTGTACTTGGAAACTTTTAGGCCCTAATAATGCACATAGACTTCTAGGCCAGAATTCTGCAAACCCAGCTATTTATCACAATCGCTGAGGAGCTCTAAAATGATATAGAGTACTGACTTCCATTCTCTCAGCCTCACTCTAGATGCAGGAAGTCTAAGGTGGGGCTAGGGATGAGTAGAATTTAAAAGCTTCACGACCGCATGCCTTGCCTGTCATCTCAGCATTTTGGGAGGATGAGGTGGGCTGATCACCTGAGGTCAGGAGTTCGAGACCAACCTGGCCTAATCAGCCAGGCTTGGTGGTGCATGCCTGTAATCCCAGCTACTCAGGAGGCTGAGGCAGGAGAATCGCTAAAGCAGGGATGCCTCTCAGGGATAAAGGGGCAACTGTCCCTACCCGTCTCTGGAGATTGTGTGGGAGAAAGCTGGGCCTTCAGAACAAAGAGCTCTGAAGCTCCGTGCCCCGCTCCCCGGCAAAGAACTGACTTTACTTGTAACACACGATGGAGGTTCTGTTGGTAGGTGATGAAGAAGAAGCTTCCTGAGAGAGGCAAGCTAAACCACAGGCCAGCTAATTACCAGAGGGAATCAGGGAGAGGCAGCTCGGAAGGTCCCACCTGGGTTCAGGACAAGTCTCAGGCACTGACCTCTAAAACTATTCCTTTAAGGGAGCCTAAATTTAAGTGGACCAGAGGCAGAACAATTTATGCCTGAGGGTATTGTCAAAAACAGTAACTGGCGGGCAATTAGTCGAGCCTAAAAGCTGAGTGGTGAGGAAGAGAGACAGGAAAGCCCACCAAAAACCGCTGTCATTCCTAGGGGGACAGTGCATGTCTAAGGCTGTGCCCTTGAGGGGTATACACTATGACCAGCAGGATTTATCCCAGGAATGCAGGGTTGCTTAATACCTGGAAATCAACTAATACAGCAATAAAGAACAAAACCCATGTGATCATCACAACAGATAAAGGGCACTTGACAAAATTCAACAGCCTTCATAATAAACACCCAACAACCTAGAAACAGAAGGAAATCTTAACTTGATAAAGGGAATCTACAAAAAAAAAAATCCAGTTAACATCATACTTACTGGTGAAAACAATTCTTTCCAAGGTCAGGAACGAGACCTGGGTGTCTTTTCTCACCTCTTTGGTTCAATATTGTACTGGAGATTCCAGCCAGAGAAATTAGGCAAGACAGTAAGATAAAATACATCAAGAATGAAAAAAACTGTCCCCGTATAACATGATCTTGTATAAAGAAAATCCTAAGGAATCCACTAAAAAACTATTACAACTCATAAATAGGTTTAGTAAGGTTGCAGAATACAAGGATATACAAAAATTGTATTTCTGGGCCGGGCGCGGTGGCTCAAGCCTGTAATCCCAGCACTTTGGGAGGCCGAGGCGGGTGGATCACGAGGTCAAGAGATCGAGACCATCCTGGTCAACATGGTGAAACCCCGTCTCTNTGGTGGCAGGTGCCTATAATCCCAGCTACTTGGGAGACTGAGGCAGGAGATTGACTTGAACCTGAGCGGCAGAGGTTTCAGTGAATCAAGATCACGCCACTGCACTCCAGCCTGGGCAATAAGAGAGAAACACCATCTCTGGGGTGGCGTGGTGGGGGGTGCGGAGGCTCCAAATGGGTAACTGGAATCTGGAATGGAATTGGTGCCAGTCAGCTCCTTAGGGGTTAACATGCACTGTCAAAAGTCAGGGAGGTGGAGGGGCTCAGCTGGCGAGACTGGTCTGATCTGAAAGGTAGCCCGCAGGTCTCTGCATGCAGAGATGTGGCGATCGGGTCAATAGGAGGCCCTTTCTCAAGTTGTCCATGAACAGCGGTTCTCTATAAAGAGAGAACTACATTTTGACAGTGCATGTTAACCCCTAAAGGAGCTGAAAGAGAAGAAATTCCAGGAGCTGGCGGTGCTGTTGCACAAGCTCAGCAGGACGCACGCAGCTGAGTGGAGGTGGTGGGCGGAGACTTCAAGACCACAGAGGGAGATCTGGGGTGGCCTGGGGCCGGGCCCCTCACTTACCAGGATGCTGGCACAGCCCGAGGACAAGCTGCTTCCAGAGCCAGGCGCGGTCCACACGCAGCCACTGCCCCGCGATCATCTCCATGTGTGAGAGCGGGATCCCGAGTAAGAAGAGCATGAAGTACCTCAGGATGAGGCTGCCTGGAAAGACGGGCAGGGGCGCTGTGCTCAGGCAGTCAGGACTGCAGGCCTTGCCCCCGTGTGCCCAACCCCAGCGTTCTCCTTCTGGGCCCAGGACTCCTTCCTTAAGCTCAGGACCCAGGCGCCTGGCCTTAGCTCCCCCGGTCCGGTGACACAGGTAGAAAAGCGCCCCCCGCTGCCCAGCCCAACAGAGAAGCCATCTGGAGCAGGAAGCTGTCACTGTTTTTAGACTGACGTGGTTTTGGGGCTTGGTGGCCTGGATCTCCTTGGCCTTGAGCCTCCCGGACAGGGGAACGGGGGGTCTGGAATGTCTTGGAAGACTTCCTCTGTCAGACCAGGTAATTCCTCAAGGGACTCCCTGGCTTCTTTTCAAGCCCGCTACATCCGGAGGAAAGCTTGAGCTTAGGGTCACCAAGAGCTGCAAACTTTACAGGACACGTCTTGGATGCCAGGCTGTAAAACGTCCTCACGGGGATTTTTGAGAAATGAGGGCCAGAGGGGAAATCTTGGCGTTCCTGCTAATGAGTTAGTTACTTAGGGGCAATATACGTTATTACTTTTTCAGACAGGGTCTTGCTCTATCACCCAGGCTGGAGTACAGCGGCGCCATCTCAGCTCACTGCAGCCTCCGCCTCCCAGGTTCAAGCGATTCTCCTGTCTCAGCCTCCAGAGTAGCTGGGACTACAGGCACCT